TACTAGACAGTTAATTCCCATAGCAGAACCTGGATCTCATTAGCATCTGTCACTCTCACCCTGCCTCCCTACAGCACTAAGAATAGAGCATGCACACTTAGATGTAGTTAATAAATATTTGAATAATTGATGAGTGGCTTCAACTAATTTAGAATGTTGAACATAAACTTTTGAAGGGCAACACTACTTATATTAGCTTCTGGACTATGCTTAGTGCAATTACTTACTTGAAAATTGTCTGTTGAAAACTCCCCTCTTACATAGCCCTGCCAAACTAAGGGAACACTGGCCCAGAGAGCTGAGCTAAGTGGAATTCAGCAAATGGAAACCACATTTTATTGAGGACTTTCCCCCTCTGTGTGCTGTAACTATTTCAAAGGAAATGCTAATCCCTATGTTTGGAATTCATTTCCAGAGAGCTTCTCTGCTTAACAAGCGTGACTTTGTGCCCACAGAGCTTCATAAGCCAATTTTATCAGTTTTGTTGAAGAGGTGGCTTTTTTTTTTCCCCACCTGGAAACACTCAGTGATCTTCTATCTGGAAAGTCTCAAGTTGAGTACCAATTAAAGCTGGATAAGAATGACTCCCCTCAAGTTGGCACCATTTTAGCCCGTTCTTTTCTCAGTCCTAACATATTTAGTCATGTGTTGGCCTTGGAGATTAGGGTGGAAGAAGGAAGAGAAGATAAAGTGGGTTAGGGTTTAAAACAGAGGCTACTTTGTAATCTATCCTAAGTCTTATGAAGCAAAGTAAGAAGACCTGAGGTCTCCTGCCTCACGCCTGTCTGCATGATGGAACTCCTAACTAGAACTATTTTGTACTTCGACTTTGTCATAAATGAGACAGAGCTGAGGTTTCCCTTTTGGACTCTGTATGTAAAAGATTTCACAAGCAAATTAATCATGTTATTAAGATTTTACAGATTCTTAGCCTAGTTGAAGAAATGAGTTTTAGTTTCTATTAGTCCCACTGGTACAATCAACTAATGTACCAATCACAAACTACATAACTTCACAGTGGGATCCTTTACTTTTTACCTGTAGGCTCTTTACTTGGCAGTATCTTTTTAGCCCTTAGTTCCATTACTAGGCTTTGGAATTGAGAAATGGATATTCAGACATGCCATTAATGTATACTGACCCCTCTCTTTCCTTACTGTCGACTAGATATAAGGGTTTATGGTATTATCTGCACAATGTGTCTGGATAAGTTGTTATTGCATATGGCTGCATTTGATTTTGTAGGTATTCCACATTTTTCGGCTTCCTATTCCCTCAGTGAGACCTTTAGCATGGCAATTCAAGAATGAAAATATTCTCAACAGAGCTAGGACTAGGGTGAGGCAACCCAGGCCCCTAGGGAGCAAAATTTAAGGAGGCACTAACTTGCATATGCATGCCCTGGAAATGAGCACCTTCTTAAATGTTGTGCCCTAGGCACCTAGCTTGTCATATTCTAGTCCGGGTCCTGAGTTCCAAATCAGAGAGCTCAAAGTACTAGTTGCTGAGATCATTTGGATGATTGAGTCAACCCCAGTCCTTTACCCCAACTTGTAGGCATGTGTATGCGTGACTGCAGAGATCCTACAAATGTACATATGAGACAATAAAAATGGAATTCTGCAATCATGATTTTATTAATCACATGAAGGTAAGACTGACATTCAATGTTTATTTGCCCTCTGTGCTGCAGTAAAACAGTCTTGACATAGATTTTTTAATGAGCATGCATTAATTATTGTCTTTGAGAATCTCCTTGAATTTAACTCTTGCTGTTGCTCCATGGTCTCAAAGACCACCAATGGCACATCTAAATGTAGACAAATGCATCACTCTTATCCAAGTGCCTAACTATACCCACTTGCAAGGCATATGTGAATGCCACCTAATTAGTTGTGAAGTGCATTTTGGCATATGTCGGAAGTTAAAACCACTTCCTTAGAGGAACTCAAACTCCGAATTTATCTTTATTAAGGCCTTGTCCAAATGATAAATATACACTGCCTCCTTGCTATCTACTGCTTGGAAATAAATCACTTTAGGATTGATTTGCTAACGGCTTTCTTCACTCTAAGGGTCCTCCTGCCCGAGAGGTCATACTGTCCTTCACAAACAAACATTGATAACCAAACAGAAGACACCACACTGACCATACAGTGAATGAAGAAGGAAGTCTGGAGCGAGGGGAAGTATGATCCTTTGCACAGCCTAGAAAAAACGAACCTTACCAAAGTGCAATATTATATTCTGGTCAAAAGCCCCCAAACCACTTTTTAAGAATATGAGTGAACAAATGGGATATATTCATCTTCTTTTTCAGCAAAGTGCCATGAACGTTGGTACTTTAGTCAGGTATTACAAACCCCTCCAGGAGTCTGCCAAGTAATAGAAATCAGTGAAACTGGCTGGGTATGAGACAATCAGGAGTGGTAGGGTCTCCAGGGAAACAGAGAATGCACTTATCATCCACTGCAGCTGCTTTTTGTGACATGGGAATATGGGCCAAATCTTGTTAGATCTTCTGATTCTTCAAGAGAAGCAGGTAACTTGATTTTTTTAATAACATGGCTCCCATTTTTTAACTGTTGGAAAGTTAGCTTAAGAACATTTTAAGGTCACTGCGTGGGATAAATAAAATATCCCTAAAGGACAGAGTTGCCTCACTAAGTCTTGAAACCTGACTCCTTTCCAGCTGTGATTCCTTGCTCAGGACCATAACTCTGGATTCACATGGTGACTTTCAACGGCTCAGCCAATCATGCTAAAGTTGTATATTCTTAAGATGCCAAGATATTAAATTGTATTTTAGACAGTTAAGTTTACAATTATCTTTGTCTCACTGCACATGGGTGGCACCACCTGCCTGCAGTCTTAGCTCACTCTCTACATTATCGGCATAACACAACAGTGGACGCTTGATTTTCATTAGCCAGATGTAACTGATTGTCCTACCTTCACCTTTAGAGTGAGGCCACAGGGGCCCCATGGAAGCACCTGCTTCTTGAGGAAGAAGTACATACATGGAAATAGTGCTGTCTTAACCAGCTTGGCTTTCTTACATTTTTAATATCTTGTTTGTCTCAACTGTTTATTCCATGGTCATTGTCACTTCTGTTTGCCTGTTTCTGAATCTGTCAGTTGTTGACTAATAGAGGTAGAACTTGAATCCAGGTGTCCATTTCTTGAGAGAATTTGTTCTGCAAATTTATTCTCTGCAGGTTGAACTGAGATGTCTTTGATTTGCCCTGTGTCATATATATTTTAAATTAGCTTGACGTTTTCCTGCTCTTGTGATCTATGATGTGAAATTACTTCATGGCCTGTGGAAGTTCAAACACATTCCAAAAACTTCTGTTAACTTCCAGAGGAGCCTCATACTTCCTGGGCACTCATGCTGTCTGCGTCCCACACTATATTTGTGTGAAACATAGCCTTTGTCTCTCTGTCTGATTCTCTCTCTCGTTCATTCTTTCTTTTTCTCTCTCTCTCACTCCTACTTCTGCTCTCACTCGAAATCCATCCATGAGCTCAGTAGACTTTCCCCAGTCACATTACCCCTCCCCTTGCCACCAGGCTTCATGCATCTCACTCTGACTGTACCCTTCCCATCACAGCTCTTCACCCCCTGCCTCTCAGCTTGCCCTGAGAATGCTAACTTCTTTTCCTTCTACAGTGATAGAGCAGCCTCCTTACTTTTATGTGGCCTTGCTGCCACTTAACACTAAGGTCATTGGAGTTGGGGGATGACCTTTTTGAACCTGTAAAAATAAACTCGGATTCTTTTTGTTAATTAACAAATGAACATAGAGCCAAAAAGCCTTGCTCTCTAGTATCTTAGGCTGGGTCTACTTCTGAGCCAAGGCCTGATGCTGATGCCTTTATGAATATCCCTGCTCTACCTTGAGACTATCAAAATGCTGCTTCATTTAAATTTTACCTCCCCTCTTCTGTTCTTCCCAATCTCAAATAACCTTATCAATTCATTTGTTTTGTGAGTTGCCCCACGTTTCCTTTGATGTGCGGTCTCCCTTGCTTTAGGAAGTTAATAAACTTAACTTTGTGAGACTATAGGGGTGTCCCTGTTGGTTATCATCAGAGGGGCTTTACTACCTTCTGCTGCAAGCATTTATTAAAGTATTTGTCCCAATATATGCAGTTTTCTCCCTAAAAGGATTTATCTTTCATTACAATGTAACTTCCGTGAAGACAGGGGATTTAATCTGTTTTCTTCACTATTCTAAAACAATGCTTGGGTCATGTTGAAAGAATGAACGAATAAATTCTGTTAATAGCCCTTAAATTAATACAGTGATCTCCACATCCTTATAAGAGTATGGTACCTCATTTCAGCTTCTGCTGAACTGTGCCTTTGGTTCTGAAATAAGAAAGACTCGGATAGACCCTGTCTTAGTCCCTTCAGGTTAATATAACAAGATATCACACACTGGGTAACTTATAAAGAACAGACATTTATTTCTCACGGTTCTGGACATTGAAAAGTCCAAGGCCAAGATGCTGACAGGTTCGGTGTCTAATGAGGGCCTGTTTTCTGGTTTTTGATGGTGCCTTTTTCAGTGTCCTCATGTGGTAGGAAAAGGGCAAACAAGCTCCCGTGGGCCTCTATTATAAAGGCGCCAATCCTAATCATGAGAAATCCATCCATACAACTTTATCACCTCCCAAAGGTCCCATCTGTTAATATCAACACCTTAGGGATTAGATTTCAATATATGAATTTTGGGGGAATATAAATATTCAACCATAGTAGACCCCCATTCCAACATTTAGCTGTATAATTTGGGATAAATTATTTAATCTCTTTATACCTCTATCTTTTTAGCTGTGAAGTGGGGATGATGCTACGTATTGTATTTGGTTGGGAAGATTAAATGAAGTGATTTATATGAAAAGTTTATTGTGGAGTATGACACATGGTAAATGTTCAGTAAACATCAGCTAGTATTTTTCATTATAACTCTCCCTGGCCTTAATTTTTCCAGATTCCAGGCACTTGCACATCACTGTGCCCCTGCTTCTATTCAGCACTGCATTTCATTTTGCCTCATGATATGGTAAGGTATGTATGTCTTCTTTGTTTAGTTGTAAACTCTTTGAGGGCAAGGTCCATGTCTTACTTACCCGTGTATCACTGTAGATAAATACATCTATGTATCACTGGCACATAGTAGTCACTCTAAATATCTGTGGTTGAAAAGTCTGCCTGGAAAAGAAGATGACAGTAAGAGTGCAGAGCTGAGCCTGATTGGTAAATGTAGTGACTGCAGTGACTGTTAGCTGATTATGATAGAGCATTAATAGCTTCTTTTCTGAGTGGTTTTATTTTTTATTTTTATTTATTAATTATTATTTTTGAGATGGAGTCTTTCTCTGTTGCCCAGGCTGGAGTACAGTGGCATGATCTCTGCTCACTGCAACCTCCACCTCCCGGGTTCAAGCAATTCTTTTGCCTCAGCCTCCCGAGTAGCTGGGACTACAGGCATGCGCCACCACATCTGGCTGATTTTATATATATATATATATATCTATATATTTTTTATTAGAGACAGGGTTTTGCCATATTGGCCAGGCTGGTCTCAAACTCCTGACCTCAGGTGATCTGCCCACCTCGGCCTCCCAAAGTGCTGGGATTTCAGGCTTGAGCCACTGCGTCTGATCTTGAGTGGTTTTAGAATATAACAACTAAATAGGAGGAGCAGGCGCAATGAAGGAGCTTTTTTGAGTGTCGTCTGCTCCTGCTGAGTGGTATTTGAATGATCCAGGGAAAATGAGAAGGGCCAAGGAAGTGGGTATGGACCAACCTGGTCATTTAATTCCTCTAATTCTCAAGAATTGCCACTCCAGTCTAGCCTAGCAATTTGGAGCAGTGGGTAAATTATTTGTAGCTAATCTGTAAGCAGAGATCATTGTGCTGACGTGTACTGGGGTTTTGCTCCCCTGGCTACCAGGTGGGGACCTGTGACTGCTTTGTCTTTTAGTTGCTCTAGAGACTGGAAATAAAGGCATAAAATGCCCTATGTTCACTTTGGGGGGCTTAACTCTGTGAGTGGCTCTCTACTTGTGAAAGTATTTATGACAATTGCTCTCCTGCTGCGTGCGCGTGCGTGTGCGCGCGCGCGCGCGCGCACACACACACACACACACACACACACACACACACACACACTGCATGGCCCAGAATAAAGACCAAGTCTTAAAACCTAGGAGAAGGTAAGAGGGCAAGGTTTTCTCAACATCCCTTTCCTGCACATCCTGCACAAATTCACACCTTTTGGCTTTTCGCTCATTTCCCAGTGTCCCAACCCCACTTGCCCTCTTTAGTATTCTCCAAGGGGTTACATTTGATGATCACTAAGATCCTCGAGCCTGTGGTGTGCTGGTAAATTGGCTCTCTAGGGGAAAAAAGCCCTGATTTGTAGCTTTGTAGTGTTTCCTGATTCCCTTCCTCCTTCTTTTCCCCCTCCCTCCCTCCATTTCTCCCCACCCTTTTCTCTTTCTCCTGCATTCCAGGCATAATTAGTCCCACCCCTCCAGTTCATTCTGCCTAGTTTTTCTTGTTTTCATCTTAGTACACATAACTTGAATTTCTCAGCTGTGTGTGGCAAAAGTATATACCATGTTATTTTAAAACAATTTTTTCTTGATCTGTATAGGTAATTGAAATGATTAGTGGTAGCAGTTTTTATCCAATCATTGCTTTAAACCACACTCATGACATCCACAACGTAAGTAGGATGTTTTTGTCATTTTCTTGGAAATCATAGCCAGATAAATCAGGCAAGAAAAAGAAATAAAGGGCATTCAAATTGGAAAGGAAGAATTCAAATTATCTTTTTCACAGATGACATGATCTTATATTTAGAAAACCCTAAAGATTCCATCAAAAACACTGTTAAAATTGATAAATGAATTCAGTAAAGTTGGAGAATACCAAATCAATGTAGAAAAATCAGTAGTATTTATATATGCCAACAGTGAACAATTTGAAAAAGAAATCAAGAAATCAATACCATTTACAATAGCTACAAAAAATATAAAGTACCTAGGAAAATTTAACAAAAGAAGTGAAAGATCCCTGCAAGGTAAACTATAAAACACTGAAGAAAGAAATTGAAGAGGATACAAAAAATGGAAAGATATTCTATGGTCAAGGATTGGAAGAATTAATATTATGAAAATGACAATACTACCCAAAGTGATCTACAGATTCAATGCCATCCCTATCAAAATACCAATGACATTCTTCACAGAAATAGAAAAAGCAATTTTAAAATGTATATGGAACCACAAAAGATCCTGAATAGCCAAAGCAATCCTGTCCAAAAATCTGGAGGTATCATACTACCTGACTTTAATAGACCTTATTTTTTACGGTAGTTTTAGGTTCACAACAAAAGTGAGAGAAAGGTACAGAGATATTCCATATACTCCCTGCCCCCACATGTGTTGAGCCTCTCCATTATCAACATCTTCCATCAGAGTGGTACATTTGTTCAATTGATGAACCTACATTGACACATCATTATCACCAAAAACTCATAGTTTACATTAGGGTTCATTCTTGGTATTGTATATTTTATGGGTTTTGATAGATGCTTAATCATGTATATCCACTACTATAGTATCATAGAGAGTAGTTTTATTTCCCTTAAAAATCCTCTGTGCCCCACCTATTCATCCCTTCCCCCACTCCCTGGCAACCACTGATCTTTTTACTGTCTCCATAGTTTTGCCTTTTCTAGAATGTTATATAATTGGTATCATATAATATGTGGCCTTTTCAGATTGGCTTATTTCACTTAGTAATGTGCATTTAAGTTTACTCCATATCTTTTAATTGCTTGATAGCTCATTTCTTTTTAGCACTGAATAATATTCAATTGTTTAGATGTACCACAGTTTATCCATTCACCTACTGAAGGACATCTTGATTGCTTCCAAGTTTTGGCAATTATAAATAAAGCTGCTATAAACATTCATGCTCAGCTGTCTGTGTGGATATAAGTTTTCAACTTCATTGGGTAAATACCAAGGAGTGCAATTGCTGTATCTTATGGCAAGAGTATGTTTAGTTTTGTAAGAAACTGCCACACTGTCTTCCAAAGTGTCTGTACCATTTCGCTTTTCCATCAGCAATGAATGAGAGTTCCTATTGCTCCACATCCTTGCCAGCATTTGGTGTTGGGTTTTGGATTTTGGACATTCTAATAGATGTGTAGTATCTCATTTTTGTTTTAATTTGCATTTCCCTGGTGACATATGACATGGAACATTTTTTTCATATGCCTATTTGCTATCTGTATATCTTCTTTGGTGACATGTCTATTCAGGTATTTGGACCATATTTTAATTGGGTGGTTTCCTTACTGTTGAATTTTAAGAGTATTTTTTACATTTTGGATAATAATCCTTTATCAGATACGTTCTTTGCAAATAATTTTTTATGTCTTTTTAAAAAAATATATAAAGTAGGTTTTCAGGTTTCTTTTTTTTTTTTTCATTTTTCGGTGGAAGAAAGGTCTATATTTCAATGATACGGGGCTTACATTGTACTTCACATTTTCCTTTTATCCTCTCTCCCTTCCCCCATCTTGTTAAGCAGCACAATTCTTTTCTGAGCTAATGCATCTCTTGGCTTATTCTGACAATAGCAGCAAAGAACAGATGAGTCCAGCTACTGTTAGTCTATTTCCCTTCCTTCAAGGCATAAAGGAGTATGCCCTATTTTCTGCCTTTCAAGTTTTGTCGGCTGACATACTTTGTATAATAGTTGCATAAGATGAGTTGCTATCTGTCCAGGATTCAACGCAGTTTGGCATTATCCATGACTTGATGCCAAAGAAGAATTCACCTATGTAATTTTTTTCTATCATCTCATTGCCCTAAAATAAATGATTTGATGGTGAAATAAAATGTATTCTAGGAGAAGCTGAGGAAAATATGCAAAGTGCGTAAGAGAAAAAAGGTTCTCTGTGTTTTCAATAAATGACCATTCATGATAATGAGGATACAAGAGCACTTGAACATAACAGAGACCAAAATGTTTTTATATACAAAAACTAAGAAGCCCAGAATCAGTGTCATATTTTGAAAAGTATTATGTTATGGTAGATGCAAAACTACCTGGTAGTATCTATACTTCCACTTAAAATTCAACTTCTGCTTGGTTCATCTGATTCTTTCAAGGTCTTAAATGTTAAATGAAGGGGTAAAATAGGAAGGTATTTAAGTAATTAGTAGGCTTCCTGGGTCTTGATAACTTCAGTGCTTCTAGGAGCTGCCCAGTTGGCCACCAGTCTCTGTGGAATCCAGGGGCCTCTTCCCAATATGGATTTGACCAGCACTTTAATTGGTGAGTTTCCATTAGCATCTTAGCACTACTCTTTAATACAAATGCCTTATTTTCCATGGTTTATGAAAGTTTAAGTGATAACCATGATTGCAGGAACAGATTGTTGAGGAGCTGTTTTTCAGTGAAAAGTCGGGTCAGGAGATTGATGGAGGCTTTGAAATTAGATCCTTGGATTGAAAAATAAAGTAGGCGGTCATGAGTCCCATCAGTGGCTTCTCTATTAAAAGTCTCTTTTTAATTGCGATAAAAATATTTTACTTGAGATCTACCATCTTAACAAATTTTAGGTTCACAATACAGTATTGTTAAGTATAGCAATATTGTACAATTATAGTAATTAGTTAAGTAATACAATATTGTACAGCATAGTTTTAGAACTTATTCATCTTACGTAACTGAAACTTTATACCAAATGAACATCAACCTCCCATTTCCCCCTTCCCCTAGCCTCTGGCAACCACCGTTTTATTCTGTTTTTCCGTGAGTTTGACTGTTTTGGATACCTCAGGTAAGTGGAATCATGCAGTATTTGTCTTTATGACTGGCTTATCTCACTTAGTGTAATGTCCTTCAGGTTCATCTGTGTTGTCTCAAATGGCAGGATTTCCTTCTTTTTTAAGGCTGAATAATACTCCATTTTATTTATATACTACATTTTACTTATCCATGTAGCCATACATGGACACTTATATTGTTTCCAGATCTTG